TCACCCTTCTCTGGTGGGGGTGTCGGGGCGGGGGGGGTACCATTATCTTCCTGTCAAAGTGGGGGAAACTGAGGCACGGAGCAGCAAAGTGACTCACCCAAGGTCACAAAAAAACAGGACAGGCCCCCAACCCTCCAGGAAAGGAACCCAGGAGTCCCGAAATCTTAGTTTTCTCCCCTGCAGAAAGGGGACCCAGGAGTCCTGAATGCTGACCCCCACCCCTGCCCCTGTGATGCAGAACCCAGAAGTCCTGAATGCCATCCTCCAGACCCCCCCACCTCTCCCCAAAAGGCACCTGGGAGCCCACCTCCACCTGTCCAGGCACCCAGCAGGGCTGGGCAAGCTGGTCCTCACCCCACCCAGCTCAGCAGAAGCATCGGGGGGAAGAAAGCAGAGCATCTCCCAGGTCCCCCCAGGGTGGGAGCTAACACATGGCTCCACAGCACTCCTGGCAGCAAGGATACCCATCACCTCCCTCCCCTCCTCTCTCAGTTCTGGCTGGTTCAGTGCATGGCTGGGAGGCCAAGTGCCCCCCTTGCCCCGGGGGTCTCCTGCTCCCCCAAAGGGAGGCTGGTCAATGCAGACCTTGCAGCCTGGAGGGAGCAGGGCAGCCAGCTCCCACCTCATGGACTGGAGACCCCAAGCCAGGAAAACAAGGGGTCTGATGCAGACCTCTGGGGTAAGCCGGTGCAAATTCACAGGAATAGGGCCCGTTTCCCCCAGTGCTGGGTTTGGCCTCATGCTTGTGCTGCTGTTGCCGTGACTCCCCCAATCTTCTCTTCCAGAGAAAGCATCCCTGACACTTCCCTCCCTCCCCTCTTTTTTTATTTTCCCAGAGATTCATATGCCTCCACTGCCATGGCAACCAAGTCCCACTCTCTACGGGAAAACGAGGTTAAAGTTCCAACTCCTAACGAGAGCCCCCGTGGTCGAGGGGCCACTCATGTGCAGCCACTTCGGAGGGGAGGGAGGCAGTGGCTTAAACACTTGTCACTACTGCTCAGGGCAGCTTGCGCTCTCCGGGAGCCGGTGGATCTACACGGGAGGGAGATGACAACTAGATCTCCCATAAGTTGCAGCTGAGATGGTGCCGGTATGCTGGGGTTAATGTCCTTTCCCTGCAGGGCAACCACCACAAGCGGTTAGCAGCCACTGTAGACCAACCCAGAGGTCCATTCATTCCTGCTCCTGTCTCTGGGCCTGGGCAGAACAGCCCTGGAGGTGTTGAAGACCCAGGCAGACAAAGCCTTGGCTGGGATGATGTAGTTGGGGCTGGTCCTGCTTGAAGCAGGGGGTCGGACTGGATGTGACCCACTGAGGTCCCCTCCAGCCCTTGTTGTCTATGGTGCTATAGAAGACAGTATGGAAGTCCCAATGGGGTGAGACGTCCTTCCCCATGAGATCTCATCCTGCTCTCTGATGCACAGCATCTGTCTCTCCCTTGAAGCATGCAGGCTAACCCCCTCCCTCTTCCAACATAAAATCACAGACAAGGGGGCTAGAAGGGACCTCAGGAGGTTGCATCCAGTCCAACCCCCTGCACAAAGCAGGACCAGCCCCAGCTACATCATCCCAGACCTCTAGGGTATTGCAATCATTGAATCACAGAAAATGTGGGTTGAAGGGACCTCAGGAGGTCACATCTAGTCCAGCCCCTGACTCAAAGCAGGACCAGCCCTAAGTACATCTTCCCAGCCAAGGATTTGTCTACCTGGGTCTTCAAAACCTCCAAGGATGGGGGTGCCACTACCTCTCTGGGGAGCCTGGTCCAGTGTTTTATTACCCTCCTAGTGAGAGAGTTTTTCCTAATATCCAGCCTCAACTTTCCTTGCTGCAGCTTGAGCCCATTACTCCTTGTCCTGCCATCTGCCCCCACTGAGAACAGACCAGCTCCATCCTCTTTGCAGCCCCCCTGCAGGGAGATGAAGGCTGCTATTCAATCCCCCTCGGTCTTCTCTTCTGCAGACTAAATCCTCACCAGTCATATCCCCCAGCCCCCAACCATTTTCATTGCTCTTCACTGGACTGTTGCTGCTGTGAAAACTGTTCTTTCCACCCATTTTAACTTGGCACCTTTCAGCCTCACCTACCGTCCCGCTGTTCTCGCGTTGGGCGTCGGGGAGAAGAAATGCCCCTGTATCAGCCCGCAGGGAAGTCCAAAGACTCGCCATCAGCTATTTATCTCCTCCCTGAGGTGACAACACCATGGTTTCCCAAGTCGTGATCCTCTCCCAGCCCTTCCCTTGCTACTCCTTTGTCTAGCTCTGCAAAGGAACCAGCATACAGTGGGCCTAATGAGGCCGGTCAATGCTCTGCACGAATCCTCCAGACAAACAGCTTGCTCACCTATTTTCGGTCTCACCTACAGGCTGAGCTGAGGTCTCCAGTGGTGCTGCCCACTGTGAAACCCAGGTCTCCCTTCCTGCATGGATGCAGTTAATTGGGAACCCCAGTGCAGAAGTAGCTGAGACTGATTAGCCCAAGACGCATCATGCTGGACCCTGCTATGACATCTCACCCAAATGCACAGCGCCTGCCAGGCACTGACTTCAGACCGAGTGGTCTGAGTTTCCCAGGTCCAGTTCCTCATCTCATTGCTGGTGATTGAGAGCTCATTGGTCTCAAATGCAGCTGCCGTCTGGGGTGAAATGGGTTCCTTTCTTACCCCCAAAATCCAGTCTCACCCGTCAGCCTGCAGCTGCTCATGGGCCTCGCGGCATTGGCTTGCTGAGCCTCGGTGGGGAGCCGGGGCTCCTGCTCCCACACCTCCGCCTCCGACTCAGTCGTGCGGGAGCCCACGTCGGAGATGTCACCCTCCTCGCCCTCGGTGCTGTTGCGGTAGGGCCGCCGGTGCCAGTTCTGGATGGCCTGTCTGCGCAGCCCTGAGCTGCGGGCTACCCCGGGCCGCTCAAAGCCACCATCTACACCGCGGCCCTGGTAGTGGTGCCCGTCAGCGGTCTCGTCCGTCGGGTACAGCTCAGCGCTGTCGCTGTCGTAGCAGCCGGAGCTCTGGGAGACGGCCTTCACCCGGCTGGAGGCCCTGTGGGGATATGGGGACAACACGTGGCAGTGAGGTGGGGACATGGGGACAACACGTGGCAGTGAGACAAACAGCATCCTGGACCTAGAGCCGGGCTCCCTCGCTTGTCCGCCCCAGACCCAATGGTCCAGCTAGGAGAATGACAAAAGGTCCCTTGGTCCTACCATGGCTTAGTTCAGGGAGGAGGGGATGTCTATGCTTTCCTTGCCAATAGCCTAAAAAGGTCATCTGGCAACAGCTCATCTGAGCCAGGCAGGGCTGGTTGCCGCCTAGAGCCAGGAAGGATGTTTTTCCCCTCCTGTTGCTACACATCAGGGATGTTTTTCTGCAGACAAGGCTGGGGATGGTGACTGGTTTGTGCAAATGCTCCTGCTGACATTAAAACCCAGAGGCTCCTGGCTACAGGGTCTTGCCCCTCCATTCAGGGTCAGAGCGATCACCAGATTTGGGGTCAGGAAGGAATTTTACCCCATGAACTGAAGCAGGGGATGTGGTTTTCTTTTTGGGACCTCTTGAGTGCATTTAAACAAGCCTTGCAGCACCAGGACAGTGACAGCTCTTGCCCCCCTACTTTACATGGCACAGGTTAGGGGCTTTTGGTGTCTTTGGGCAACGTGCCATGTAGCTGTGCAACTTGCTGTCTGCGTTTAGAAACAGGTTGTGCAGCAGGGTTGACTGTGTAGTTTTAGGAATAGGTTAGACCAAGACAATATAGGATGCTTTGGATAGGGATAATCCTGCCTTGAGCAGGGGGTTGGACTAGATGACCCCGTGGAGGGTCTTAAAGCACTGGAAGGGGTTACCCAGAGAGGTTGTGGGATCTCCATCCTTGGAGGTTTTGAAGACCCAGCTAGACAAAGCTTTGGCTGGGATGATGTAGATGGAGCTGGTCCTGCTCTGAGCAGGGGGTTGGACTAGTATCAAAGGGATCCCAGGTCTGACCAGGTGTTAGTGTGTCACCCAATTAAACCCCATAGAGATACCCCCACCATTCAGAGGCACCTCCAGCTTCCCATCTAGGTCAGAGGCACCTTGACAGTTTGGAAACATGCTATAAAAAGGAAGGAGGTGTCAAAACATCCCCGTCCTGGCAAGTGAAGTTTCCTGACATCCTAGACATGCACCCCAGCATCTCTCGCTGCATCACGGCAAGACAAGGCAGGGAAAAAACAGTTCCTCTCGATGTGTCCCTGCAGATCTTCGACTTCAAAGCATGCCAACAACTCAGCAATGCACAGAGATGGCGATGAGGTGGTTACAGGGATTTCTGGCTCTCACGATGCTGCTAGAGGCCTTGGAATGAGCAGGTAAGGACCCACACCCAAATTCGGAAGCCAGAACAAGAAGATGGAAGCCATACAGGGTATTCTTTGTGCCCCACAGAGGGCACAGCTCTTCCCCCCGCAAAGGAGATGGAAATTCAGGAGTGTCGTGGAAGACAGCTCCTGTGGGGAATGGCAGACAGCCACTGATTATGGAGAGAAGTGGAGTAGAAATAAAGCACAGGCTTCTCCCGCTCTGTAATCACCACCAGTAATATGCACTGAGCCAATGCTGCCCTGTGCTGGAGAGTCATTTGCACCCTGCTCTGGGATTGCCCAGAGACCCCAATGCACAAGGTGAACGGACTCAAATGCCCACATAAAATGAATGGTTCCAGCCTGCAAGCATCCAGGAAGCACCCCCACCTCTGCACAGGAGAAGGGGGCTAGAGAGACAGCTGTGGCCAATGCGCACCCTGTACACCTTACCCAGTGCTGGAGGAGGACCTCTGATTGGAAACAACGTAGGAGCTGTGCACAGCTGCCCCTGAGCCGGGGTGCCTGTCCCGCTGCGGAAGAAGGAAGGGAAAGAAGACCAGCGAGTGAAACCCTGTCCAATGCAAGAAGAAACTTGGCACTGTCACCAAGGTGCAAGACTGACTCCAGCAAGGCTGCTCCCCTACTGCCTGTGCTCCCTCTGCCTCGTGGACTCAGCCTTGGCTCCGCTCCCCACTCCCCCCCAGCACTGCCTTTGCAGAAGGAGACCAGCCACAACACATGTATACAGCACCTCGCACATCTTGGACTGTGGCTGGCTCACCCAGGAATGCAGCCATCTCTGGGGTGGAACGTGAAAGACCTCTGGCACCCGTGACACGGGGAGTGAAGGAATAACGCGAACAAAGAGCCAAAAGAAGGTTTTTCTTTTACAACCCTGATGGTAGCTACTCCATTTGGCAATTTTGGACTGAGCAGGAGCAGCTCAAAGCACCAGGGGAGCCTTCATGTCTGTCCACCACTGATCTGACAGTTCCCACCTACCCCAAGCAGCCAGGTAATGCTCATAGGTGGTCTTTCATCCATGCAATGCTGCTTGGCTTTGATGCATGCAGGCTTTACAACCCACGGGAGCAAGACGGGAGAGGTCCTGCTCTAGCAACCGTGCTCCTTGTATCCCAGCTGGACCCTGCTTTCCCCACCGGCATGGCAAACCACGGACAACTTCGGGGCGCACCTGTCGGCTTGGGCCCTTGGAGCCAGGAGCGCTGCACCTGCCCAGGCTGCCATTGGGGGTGGTACTGCAGCTGCTGCTTATGATCTGGAGCTGCTTCTCTGCCCGGTCGGCCCGGTCCAGGAGCTCCTCGATGAACTGCTGGAGCCGCACCTTGGCGTTGGCCTCGCGGGCTGCCGTCTCCTTCAGGAACTGGTCTATCTGGATGACCTCCCTGGCGGGGGAAGAAGCAGAGGTGAACACGGCAGTAGCCTTCTTGAGTGGTCCCTGAGGCATCATCACCCACTTACGCTAGCAGCCCATGGTGTTGCTTCGTCATCATCCCCCCTCTCACGGTAGCCTGGCCTCACGGCCCACACCCCAAATTCTCAACCTCTCCCACCATCCTGGCCCCAAACTGGCTGCCTCCCAGTCTCCCCACCTCCAGAGCTTCTCTAGATAAGGCCAATCTGATGTCCTAGGAGTCCAGATACAGGCAAGGGCATCCTATAAGGAAGCAGATCTCTATAGGATTTAAGCTGCACAAATAGGGATGATCCTGCCTTGAGTGGGCACTGGAATAGCTGACCCGTGGGCTCTGCCAGCCATATTTTCTAAGCTCCTGTGTTTGCTGGATGCGAAGCAGGCAGGGAACTCGGGGGCTCTCCCTGGCTCAGCGCTTGATCAATGGGATCTGGCTGTCTCAGCCTAAATGAATGTGGCTTCTGCGCTCCAGTAACCCCGGCTGGCTGCAGACTCAGCCCCAGACAGTCGCACAGCCGAAGCACTCAGGAGACTGTGCTAAGCGGGGGTGAGCAGACCTGGCACTGTCTTTCCTGAAATACGTCCCTCTTGGCTACCTAATTCATCTATTAAATCTGACACCTTAATGGGGCTAATTCCAGTTAAGGCCATCCATCACCAGGGCCTGGGCAGCTCACAGCAGGGATGGGCACGGGACAGACTTTCTTTGCTGGCCCTGGCAGTAATGTGGGGTACCATGGATCTCCACTTGAGATTTTCAGAGCCACCTGGGTCACAGGCTCTCCGCTGGGAGGTCACAGGGGTCGTGACCTAGGGCTAAGGGGTCAGGAGCATCTTGCCCTAGGGGAGAGGGTCCTGTTTCAATTTCAGCAAGAAGGGAGAGAGGTCTAATGGGAGGGGAGTCCCAGCTAGGGGTTTTGGATGCTGAACATCCAGTAAGATCTACATCCCATTAACTCTACAGTGGCTACAATGCCATTATACACCAGTGCATCAGCGCAGCACCTAATGCAAAGCCCTGCTGCTTTGCTACAGCCTGACCTTGAGCCAGGACTGAGGGAACTGGGCTGATTGAGTCTGCAGAAGGGAGGACTGAAGGGGGATTGAATAGCCACCTTCACCTCCCTGGAGGGGGGCTGCAAAGAGGATGGGAGCAGATGACAGGACAAGGAGCAATGGGCTCCAGTTGTAACAAGGGAAGTCGAAGTTAGATATTAGGAAGAACTTCCTCACTAGGAGGGTAGTGAAGCACTGGAAGAGGCTCCCCAGGGAGGTGATGGAGTCTCCATCCTTGGAGGTGTTGAAGACCCAGTTCGACAAAGCCTTGGCAGGGATGATGGAGTTGGGGCTGGTCCTGCTTTGAGCAGGGGGTTGGACTAGATGTGACCTCCTGAGGTCCCTTCAACCCGCATTTTCTGTGATTCAGTGATTGCAATACCTCTTAATATCTCCGCTGGCACCTTCCACCCCAGAGCCCAGAGAGCTTGGCAGCCAGTGACCCACCCCAGGAAGGCAGGTGGTGGTTGCCATCCCTGTTTTAGAGAGGGGGAGGCAGAGATGACCTGCCCAGGACATCCCCAATAGGTGGAAGAATCGAATGTTGGCTTCCAGGGCTGTATTATAGCTGCTAGGTCCCCCCGGGGCTTGCAATGAAGCTGAGGGCAGGGATCCTAGCTCGGTAACTTGGCTGCAATCACTTCTGCCCGGCTTCACTGGATCCCTCCTCCACCTCTACCCAGAGAGATGGTGCTGCCCTGCTGGCTGTGAATCCCAAGCTCTGGCCTTTTCTGCATTCAGATTTTACTAGGTCACCCTGTTCCACTCCACCGCCTCAGCCTCCCTCCTCCAGCCAACTGCTTGGGAGGTCCCTGGCAGGGAGGTGAGAGGCAAAAGGATGCCCCATCCAGTCCTTGAGCCTCTCCCGCACCACCCTAGCTGGAGCAGGGGGTTGCCCCATCCAGTCCTTGCAGATGGATGCTCTCCACCCTCACCCCACTTTGCTGAAATGCAGCCAGGTCTGGGGTGGAACATAGCAGCGGTCTGACAGGTGCCAGGCAGAGACCAGGCTGGCAAAGAGAGGGTTGCAATGCTCCCTGCAAAGATGTGCCAGGGCTTCCTAGGCCAATGCCCGGGTCACTGCACCAGCTGCTCCGTTGGTGAGGGGATAGGAGTGTACCTGGGGCCCCAACCCCGTGGGCAAGAGCGAACCCAGGCATCTGGGGGCCCCAGCCAGAAGGCATGCTGGTAATAATCGGAGAACATTATCAGCCAAAAAAAGCCAACAGCCAATAATAAAAATTTCCATTTTATCGGTGCTGATCCTATATATCGATGCACCTCTAAGTGAGCCCTTTCATCGCCTCATCGTGCTCTTTCCCCATGGGCTGCGTGCGAGGGGTGCTGATTCAGGGTAAGGGGATCTGAAAGTCCCTGGGCTGATGTCATCCTCAGTGCCCCTAAGCAAACACCCCAAAAGGGCACCCACTGCTCTAGATCCAGTTGGGCTGGGGGGGGTTGTGACTTGGGCCAAGACTGGACACACTCAATCCACCCCACAGCCTCTGCCTAACATAACACAAAGGGAAGGGGGCCTTGCCAACAAGCAGGGGGCTTCGCTTGAGCCTGCAGTGACAAACCAGGCTCTACGGAAAGCAGAAATCGCTTTGCTGAAATGCAGCCAGGTCTGGGGTGGAACACAGCAGTGGTCCGACAGCACAAAAAACCAGAGTAATGCTGTGTCCAGATGTCCAAATGGGCACATCCCGCCCTGGGCATAGAGCAGCCTACGCTTCTCCTCTTGCAAGGAGGGCATTGTGTCTGACCCCTCCAGCACCACTGCCTGCCTTGGGGCACTGTTTTGCAGGGGAGAACATCACCAACCATGCTTTGCTGCAGCCCAGGCCCAGCCCTCACCATCACCACACTGATTTCCAACTTTAAACACAGCCAGGAGGCTTCTGGGGCCAGGCCAGATCTGTCAGGAGGGGAGGAGAAGCCGACACAAGACAGCTTTCCCTCACCCTGCCCGGGACAGGACCCCTGCTGGCATGGAGCAAGTGGAAAACGGGACCTGCTGCTTCTCCCTGACTCAGGACAGCGCTCTGGGAGCAGCGAGGTTCACTTAACAGCGTCCTATTAGAAAGCAGGCTGCTTCATGGCTCATTAGTCCTATGCACATCGGTCCCTGAATGCCCCCCGCCCCTCCAGCGCCCCTGGATGCTCCGGGCCCAGAGCCCGTGGCTGCTTGTTGCTCCCATGAATGATGATGATGATATCCTGCCCCTTTGGGAGTCAGCCCTGACACCCCTGGGAGAAAATCCGGACTTCACATCTAGGAAGGGAAAAACAGCAGAGAATGGCAGCTTTGAAAACTTTCCGCTTGGAAAGCGCAGGATCGCCCTTTAAATTATACACGCACCATTGAGCAACAGATTTGGTGGCTGTAATGACCTCCAGGCCTGCTGCTAAGCATCAAGCAGGGATTACAGGACCAGGTGATGGAGAGCCAGGGGCTGCACTCAGTAGCTCAGGGCATCCAGCCCCACGGTCCTACGTCAAAGCAGGGCTTTGGGGTCTGTAGTGCCAAATGCTGTTGCAGCCTGTCTTAGCAGTCTGGGATGAGTCCAGACACCTCTCTCATTTAGGCATCTAGTTCAGGATCAGCCTGGATCAGCAGGGCCTAAAAGACATCACTGCTGTAGGTGGACTCGGACCTGTGCTAGTCTTAGGCCAGTCCCTACTGGCTGCATTTCCAGGGTAGCAGCTCCAGCGATGATGGGTTAAACCTCTTGGTCACCCTCCTGGCAGCAGCTGTGCTGGGGGAAGAGAGCGCTGGCACGTCCTGTCCTCCACCGGCCTGCGATCTCCCGCAGGTCCCCTGGGACAGCGTCTGGCTCTGGTGCTGCAGAGTGTATTGATTATGAAGCCAGGGGAGACATTCCCGCTCTGTGAGGCCGGCTCTTTGGACTAGAGGTGGTGAGCGGCTGTTTTGAAATGGGCTGGGTTCACATGCAGCCCTCGCTGCATACTCTGAGGATCACAGAATCACAGACAGGAGGGTGGAAGGGAGCTCAAGAGGTCACATTTGGCCCAACCCTCTGCTCCAAGCAGGACCAGCCACAACTACATCAGCCCAGCCAAGCCTTGGTCTACCTGGGTCTTAGACATGTCCAAGGATGGAGATTTCACAACCTCTCTGGGGAACCTGTTCCAGTGCTTCACCACCCTCCTTGGGAGAAAGTTTTTCTTAATATCCAACCTCAGTTTCCCTTGCTGCAGCTTGAGCCCATTGCTCCTTCTGTCATCTGCCCCCGCTGAGACCAGCCCAGCTCCATCCTCTTTGCAGCCCCCCTGCAGGGAGCTGAAGGCTGCTATTCAGTCCCCCTTGGTCTTCTCTTCTCCAGGCTAAATCAGCCCATTTCTGTCAGCCTCTTCTCACCAGTCCTGTCCCCCAGCCCCCAACCATTTTCATTGCCCTCCACTGGACTCTCTCCAATGTGTCCACAGCCTTTCTGTAGTGGGGGATCCACAGCTGGACACTGGACTCCTGATGTGCCCTCCCCAGTGCAGAATAGAGGGGAATAATCACTGCCCTCCATCTGCTGGCAGGGGTCCTCCCCATGCAGCCCAGGGTGCTGGTCGCCTTCTCGGCAACACGGGCACACTGCTGGCTCATATCCAGCTTCTTGTCCCCTGTCACCCCCAGGTCCTTTTCTGCCCAGCCCGTCACCCCCAGCCTGTCCCAGTGCATGGGATTGTTGCCTCCTAAGTGCAGGACTTTGCACTTCTCCTTGTTGAACCTCATGAGATTTCTTTTGGCCCAAACCTCCAATTTGTCTAGGTCTCTGAATCATAGCCCTGCCCTCCAGCATATCTGCTACACCCCGCAGCTTGGTGTCATCTGCACACTTGCTGAGGGTGCGCTCTGCCATCTTCCAGGTCATTGATGAAGATATTGAACAAATCTGGCCC